TCTGAACTTTATAAATAGCATTAAGATTACATTAGTTTCGATATCTGTTGGAACTTAAGTACTATTTAACTGGAAAGAAGAGGTATACGATATGGTTGAAAGATGACGTGTATGTACAGTATTTGAACTTAAAGTGCATTGATGCGTCACTTGGTGGTCTATTGACCATTTCTTTGCGATTGGTATTAAGAAATCACCGTTAAATATACTATCAAAGAAATATTCTCTTTCCTTCTCTGCTATATCTATCGAGTAAAAACGCTTATTTCATCAAATTACAACATGCATTTATTGAATATCGCTAAACATCTTTTCCACTTGGCTCAAACTGAATATGGATCTGAAAATTCTCCAACAACTAACGATGAAATTTTTACTGCACAAAGATTATTCGAAGTTCTGAAGTCATTTAAAGATAGCTACTTTAGTGAACTGTATACTTACGATACCCTCGAATATGAAGATGAATATGATGAAACGACTGATGAAGACGAAAGCGATGATGAAATAATGGATGAAGAAGAGAGCGACAATGAAATGGATGATTATGATGAGAACGAACAGTTTGATTTAAAAAGTCGTTTTACACTAGAAGAAATGGAAAATATAATCGAATGGGTTGACCAACATCCAAATGCTAGATTTGCTACTATTTCTAATCGATTTAAAAAGATCAAACATAGGAATTATATTACAAGATTTAGACAATATATCGAAAAAGATGGTACAAGATTACAAAAATTAAAACAAATTAAAGAGTTTATGTTTAATAAATTTTATCGGAAGAGAACAATTGAAAAAGAAGCCATTCATGATGCTGATCTTGAACTTTATGCCATTCAAAAAGCAAGAGAACTGAATTGGGATACATTCAAGGCTGGCAAAACGTTTATCAATAGTTTTAAAAGGGAAAATAGAATATCATCAAGAAGATATAACAAAATTATTACTCGAACTAAACCAAAGAGAAAAGTTTGTAGTTTAAATGGTATGTAAACTTTTATTTAGTCTCTAAATACATATGTCTTAATGTCATACACATATATCTTTTAGATGCTCACAATTGGATAGAAAGTAAAAGATCTTTAATAGCAAAATACTCTGCCAATGAAATCTTAAATAGCGATCATTGTTCATTTCAACAAGAATACATACCTCCAAGAACACTTTCTTTTACTGGTGAAAGAACAACAGAAGTGGCCGTTAAAAAGAAATATAATACAACTCATTCTTATACAATTCAACCAGTTACATTAGCCAATGGACATTTATTGGAAAAATTCTTACTTATCCTTCAAGAAAAAGAAAATCAGTTCGGTCAAAGAGTAGAAAAAAAATTAATTATACCACCAAATGTTGTAGTAAAAGCTTCTAAATCTGGAAAAAGCAGTGGTGAAAAACATCACGCTTTTTTAAATGAAATTCTTCGTCCTTTGGTTGGTAAAAAATTTCTTCTCTTCCTTGATTGTTGGAAAACTCAGGCTGATCTAACAAAATTTAGAGCAGTATTTCCTAATCAAGATAGTCAGTTACTGATTTTTCCTGAAGGATCAACCGGTTATATTCAACCACAAGGTCTTTCTTTGTTTCGTTCATGGCGATTTATTCATGAAAAAATCGAGCATTGTACTTATATCAATCGAACAGAAATTACTATAAGTGATCGTCAGTATTTCATCAACATGCATTCTGTTATTCACAACCAACTATCAGATCCACAATTTAAGAATCTCATTAAGAATGGATTTAAACAAGCTGGATTAATAAATGAAACAATTGGACAGATTCACAAACCAAAAGATGTTTGTTTCAAATTTTACGATCTATACTGTTCAACTAAGAACTGCAACGAACGAACACTTTTAATGTGTGCTTGGTGCGAAAAAGTTCTTTGTTACTATCATTTGATTGAAGATATACATCTGCACTTGTAATATATTTGTTAAAATAGTATATTGTGCAATCTATTGTTTTCGGTTGAAATAAAATCAGAACTATTCCAGTTAAAGATTCTGATAAGTACTAACTGAT